CGCCAAGACTCTCAAACGCTCTGGTCAAGGCATTGTTTACTCAGGATCGCACAGATATCACAAGATCCGTGATTTCTCTGCCAACCTCCTCAATTTTCTCCATCTCAGGCCAGATTCAGACCACATTTATGTATCATTCGAAATTCAAATTGTTCTCAGCCTCGCTTTCGCATTTTCTGCCGCATTCAAGCATAGATTTATTGATTTCCAATTTCTTTCATCATTTTCTCAATTCTTTTTGCACCTAAATCACAAATATCAGTTCTCATGCGTTCCCTCTACGCCGGATACATGTTGTGATGAGTTACAGCGGAATCCAATTGAGGATTCTGTGATTAATCCCATGGGAAGTATTTAAGGGATCGATGGGGATGTTTTGTGATCTTCGAGGGAACGTCGTGTACTTCTATCATGTTTACACCTGGGACGAGAGCGCTGAAGACTCTTGAAACGACTCTCTTCATTCTCAGACAGCCAGTGAAAGAAGCCACAAAAATATTTCTAAAGAAAATTCACAATATAATAAAAGTAATTTCTCAAACGAGTGTACCTCAGCTGCAGATTACCGTCTCAGGGAACCAGAAAAAATGTAATTGTGTAAATAAAATAATGGTGTTTTGTGGCCATTGACAATAACACACCCCATTAGGGAGGATCTTTTGGTGCCGACGAGAGGGACTTGTTGAGAAAAGATGTGGTGATCCCTTCTTAGGAAGCGCATCTCTTTGCTCGTCTCGGAAATTATATCAGAGCCAATTGATCTTGTTGGCCGGTCGTGCAGAGCACAACATATGTTGCAATTCCCTCATGTATGGCATTGTTTTATCCACACACCATTTTTACGCATACAAAAGGGACGACATGGCATAAAAGAAGAAGGTATGCAACAAGTTGGAGAAATATTTGCCAGCCACAGTCGATTGGGTGAACAATCGGCTGCGGTTGTGACGCCAAGTAAACGAGAAAATAAAATTAATCCACACGGGCAACGCTGTGAAAATAATAATGCACTTTAAGTACATGAAGATGGAGAATCGCCAAAATAGGGAGGGAGCGATCCAGGTAAGGGAAGGAGAAGCGATTGAAAATGAGAGCAAGAAGAAATTGCCGAGAGATCAAGAAGACCCTCACACTCTGGGCAATATAACAAAAGGAACATGAGAGTGAAATAATTCAAAAATCTCAAATGTGCGCCTCAGACACAACATAACCATCGCAAGATCTCGCCAGACTCTCTTATCCCATGCCAACCGCATGATTGTACACTGTAACCGCGTTTCCTTCCCGAGAAATCGGCAAACCAGAGCTGCAATCGCCAAATGCTGACTCGCTCACCGCGAAACACCTTCGGGGGGCTTTTCATTTCATCGCATTTTTCACATCACTCCCCGATCTCCCACTGAAGCCTTCATTACAGCATCACATAAAAAACCGTCTTACTTTCAGCCACAGCTTGTTCATACGCGGAAATTGATGCTTTCGCGATATTCAGTAGCAAAATAATTCCATCGACAAAGTGTGATCGTTATTCCTCTGTCTCTTTAGCCATACAATGGCATGCCCCTTGCCATCATCCACTCTCCTTGTGATGTCACGATTCTCCTCGCGAATGTGGAGTCAAAATTTATAAGGGAGATGATCAAAAATAAAAGTCACTAAAAATTGCAGATAATATAAATCAAGGTGTCATTATTGTCTTTTGCATTTCGGTCTCCTTTTTCCAGCTCCTCTATTTACATATAAAGTCAGCCGAAAGAGACCAACAAAGTATTGGAAAAAAATGGGAATAGTCCCAAAACTCTAACAAGACTGAATTCCTGTAGGAACATCATTCTTTTTTTCTGAATCCACACATTTTATACTGGCCTCTCAATTCGCTTTCGTGCGCTCTTGTTCTCATCGTGGCGTCCAAAGTCAATGAGGACGGAAGAAATACACAGAAATTGGGAGGGAAATTGTATTTAAATTTTGTAGATCATTATTGAAGGAGGGCTTCTTTACGCATTCACAGGCTGTACTGGGGAGATTGTTAAGTAAAAACAAGAGAAGGAGAATGATGGGAAGAAGGAAAAATACGAAGACAATTTAACTACCTAACAAGATCATTATCTTTGGAGGCAAAAACCCATCAAGACCATAATAGGAATCTCCCCAGATCAGCCACAAATACACACACGCAATTTCCATTCACCTCTTCTCTCTCTCTGCCCAACATCTCATCATTAATATCCCATCCTCATTCCGAACTCTCCATACAAGTCACTAATTTGAATACATGGCGACTCTTGGCGACTCTCTTGTTGTGTGATAAAAAACATACACCTTCTTTCCGCCTCTCCTCAACCTTCCAAGCCTCCTGAAATGCCGGGGAGTCACATAAAAATTTCTCTCCAATACACTTTTCATCCGCATTCGGTGCGGCTTTTGGTATAAAACGATAGAAAATACAGCCCAATAATGGGTGGAAAGGTTATCTTTGATATTCACCGTCTTGTCTTGTTACACGCAGAATTAATTAATCATAAATTTTGCTAATTGCGCATGTTTTTCAGACGTTTGCGCACCGAAGAAGTCACCAAAAAAAAATAGCCATCAATTTGCCGCCTCCATCAACACAAACCCATAATTGACGAGGAATTTTCAGTTTTAAGAAATCATATTTAACGTCAGTAGCTTTGACTTTCTTCACCAAATATTTTCGTCAACTTTATGATTTTGTGGGGCCGATTTAAATAATTCTATCGCTCTCCTACGTATTTCGCGGAAAGTCTCTCTTCAGCTCATTTTAAATTCTTCTCCAAACCATATAATACATTAAGTATTCCAACTTACAGACACCCCCTAAATCACTCATTTAAATGGGACCAAAGACTCCTCAAGCGAGAGCGAGAGAAAAATTCCGGATCTATTTTAAACGGCATTCGCTCATCACCACTCAAGTATCACAACAATATAATTTATATAATATTAAAATGCTAAATGAAAAGATATGTGGATAGAGGCAGTATAAAGAGGCCGGAGAAGAAGAGCGTTACAATAAAAGACACTCCGATATGACGACGTATACGATTTAATGTACAAGGTGTTTCTTGATAAAAAGGCACACACTTCAGAAAAACCATGAGATATCATGAGGTGTGTAGTGTCGTTAGTTGCTTAATTTTCAAATTATTCCCCCTTCTTCTCATTCCGCTATCACACTTCCCGAGGGGACAACCTTTTATGCTAATGCAGGACATGCAAGTTTGCACCAGGGCTGGTTTTAGAGCTAATTCCCTCGTTAAGGCAGTTGCAACGCCAGACTAAATGTTTATAATATTCCACACAGGTTTTCCTAAATTTTGTATGGAAAAACCCCCTGGGAAACAGAACTTTTTATTCGACAATATTTGCATTCATCACAATAAAAGTCTCACCTGTGATATGCCAATTGGGAGTTTATAAACTGCGACTTAACCTATCAGAAAACGCGTAAAACAAGAGCTACACATCTTTTAACTTTTGTCTGTGCTCTAAAAACACGGAAGACCGATAGAAGTATTGCGGCAAGTTGATAATTCTGAGTTAATGGGTTAATGAGTGAATAAGAAGAAAGAACATAATGTGATTCCTCGAACAGCGAAGAAGAGATGTGCTTCTTTGCCATATCTGGTTGGCTGTTTATTGAAATAATTCAATAAAATGTGCCAAAATAAATGTTAAACCTTATCATATTGGTTCTTGCGTGCGAGGCTGATCAAACAGGCGCCGAGTTATCGCATTTCACCCAGACATTTCTCAGCGATGTCTCCTTAATTAATTCATCAATTCGCGATTGTGGATTAAGCCAGTGCACACCTTGCATGCGATTAGCACGCAAAAAAGCTGAGATAAACAGTGGCACGAAAGCCCGTATACAAAAAGAGACCATCTTTTGTGAGTTGTTTCACATTTTTTCGCCTGGCCTTTATTCAATTAAGAATTGACGCGATCAACACTCTTCCTGCGGTCTTTATCTAAAGCACATGAAATAGAGATTATTGGGTGAGAATGAGATGAACGCGGTGGACGGAAAAAAACTGTGTGAGAAGGCAATAATCTCCAAAATATTGCGAAACAGGTGAAAATTTTTCGCCAGATTCGGGAATGCAAGCGCCCTTTTATCATTTTATTATTGTATTGAATTTTCTTTCACTCCCTATTAAGATAGAATTGAAGAAAAGTGCGCTTCAATAGTGAACAGTGTCTCTCAGCCAATGTTGTTGCTCAAAGACCAGAAGAAAACAATTCCGTGGCAGTGTTGAAAGACCTTATTCTACCTTTGGAGACTTTAGAAGCACCTCTTATTTTCCCCACTGCTATTATCATATCCTCAATGGTTCGCACAGTCTTTTGCTCGCTCCTCAGCCCTCCTGAGAGCGTCTTCGCGAGTCGCGCCAATCTCTCTCTCGTGTGCAGAAACGACAGAAACACAGCTCAAGACGTTGAGCTGTGCAAGAGCTGGATGGAATGGACTTTTGAAGTAGTAATTATCGTTTGCTTATAGCATATGGTTGCAATAAAACACTCACTACATCTACAAACGAGATCCCCATGATGTACGCGAGTCTTGTTTGCTTATTTGATGTGCGTGGACTTGGCACATGTTCGCACTCAATGATCAGAAATTTGCACACACTGCGAGGTGAATATTGCTGTTCGAAGAGAGGTGGATTAAAAAAATAGCCAGAGACTAAAATAAATAGAAATTTAATGTGAGAAATCTCTTGCTTTCTCACACACTCTTCAGGAGTGTTATTTTTGCGGAAAATAAATAAGCCTATAGACGAGAGGACTCTTGAGGCTGGAAAAAAATTTTCCATACGCCAAAAACTAACACTTTATGCAATTATGTACAAATCTCATTTGCACTACTACAGGAATGTATCAGAAATGTCTATTGAGAGTTGCGAAATTCATGTTGCTCCCAAATATTTGTGCTTCCATTTAAATGGTGTAAATTAGCAGCGATTGAAACTCACCAAACTCCAGCCGCCATTCCGAAGTAGTAGCGCAGTAGGAAGGTTCCGGCGCACGGAGCGTTGGACAGGCCATCGGTGAGGAGCAGCGACACTCCTGGCAGTTGGGGATCGTATCCGCAGGCCGTGGGATTCCTCTTGGCCAGCCAACGCACGCTCCATCCCACCGCCACCAGCAAGTGGCACGTGACGAGCGGCATGAAGATCTTGTCCCACTTGGTGTCCGTGAAGATGAGACAGAGTGTGGCCACGATTGCCGTAAGCAGGGCAGCTACGCTCCAGGCTGTCACCCACACCTCGGCCAAGTGCTTCTCCTGGGCGTCGAACAGAATGTCCGCTTCGCAGAGTGGAGCGCAGCGTCCGCTCCTATTGAGTCTGGCGTACAAGTGGGATTTGACGAGATCCTGGCAGTTCGAGACGTGGCTCTTGATCTTAGATGTGGGCGGTGGCAGACCGTCGCTGGGCTCTCCTGGCCCCTCCATGCACATGTGCTCGTGGTTATTCTCTTCGGGGAAGCGGCTGCACTCCAGGGCACTGGGCCAGGGAAATCCGAAGCCCTGCAGCACCGGCAAGCAGCGGGCTCTGGTGGTCTCGCACAGGCCGCGGCAGGGCCCGATGGGCACGGGCACTTTGGGCGTGCACATGGGCACGTAGGCGGCACAGAGGAAGAAGTGCAGCTGAGCACTGCAACCGTACTGGATCAGCGGCGAGAAGGTCTGCAGCGTGAAGTCAGCGTCCGTCTGGATCTCGTGGCCCACGAGATTGGGCATCGAGGTCTCATTATAGCCTATTCCGCGGCACAGCTCTATCCGGATGGGCTCGCAGGTGCGCATCGAGATGTCCGGATTGGCGTGTGTGGCATGTGGCCAAGAAATTAGCAGCAGAAGAACGCAAGTACATCTCATTAGCATCCCTGTGTTATATGTCGCCATTGCGGTCTTCTTGTCTGAAGAATCACACCGAGAAATATTCCTTGCACTCAAATATTCCACTGTGATGCCGCTGCTCATGGGATCATGCCTGACCAGGCTGAATGTTTATCAAAATTGCACTAGAGTTATTAATAGCGGAGATTGAAAATGTATGTCCATTCGACTCACAGTATTATTCAGAGTTCAAAGATGCCAGGAATATGAGATTGATGGCTAAATATACACCTTGAATCTCTTCTAATTTCTCCACTAAACAAACTCAGTTTTTTTTCCAACAGTTGAAAAAAGAAAGAATCTCTCAATGTTGAGACGAACTTTAGTGCCTCTAATTGTTATTTATAAATAATGTCGAACGTGTATTATGTATTTAACTGCTCATTATATTTAGCATTCATTGAGGAATTTTTACACATGGTTCATCGTTTTTTCTCTTCTTCCTCTGCACACCAACAAAATATCTCCCCTTCGCACCAAACTATGAGTATTTGTTGTGTGTCTTTAACATTTTTCCTCCTTACTTCGCTCTATGATCTCTCTCGCACTCACCCAAAGTCATTAGACTTCCAGAAGGGAGAAAACACTAATCCTCAACTTCTTACATATGTTTTCATGTCATAAATAACAAAATGAATAAATATTTGGTGTGGAAGTCTTCTGGGTATCAAGTTAGAGACGAAAGATGGATAGATTTTTCCCCGAAACTTTCAATAAACTCTCGCACGGCACACGGAAAACTCCACTGAGTCTATTATCACACTTTCCCGTGTCTTCAATTCATTGGAGAGTGAAGAAATGTATTTGAAAACATTAGATCAATTCTCTGGACGTTCATTCGCCGATAATCTAATCGCAATCACTTTAAAACACAATTAATACTTCTTCGAGTGATTTGGAATACTTGTGGCGGCTCTTAGTCCATGGAAAACACGCGAAAAGCCACTGAAATCACCTCAGAACTGGCTCAAGAGGTGAAAATTGTGTGGAGAGCAACGAACGAGAAACGTCCACAACCGCTGAAAGTTCTGAACACACTGTGTGCGATAATAATAAATAAAATGTGAATAAGCTTCTCCGATCGTGGCCCGAATGGTTAAAAAAGAGGAATGGAATCTCAACAAGTAATAACACCAATACACAAAATGCTCAAACCGTGTGCTCCAAGTCGAACGTGCACGAGTGAGAAACACTCTTGCAATCCGTTTCAGGTTTTCCTCTCCGTCTGCTTCCATGGCTTTCAGCCTCATCATTCTTACATCTGCCATGGGGTAGAGCAGAGCCACCAATACTGCGGAAAGCCGAGAGCCGAGTTAACATCATCAACGAGACTCTTTAGCAGAATCGCCTTCATGAACGAGGAGGAAGCAAAAAGAAGAATTCGAGGCACTGCCAAAGAGACGACCGGAGAGCAGTTAGAGAGTCTTTCTGGAGAAAACCATCTCAGCGATTTACAACACCCAGAAGGTTAGAGTCCGAGATCTGCCCAATAAGGCATAAACCTCATGGCAGATTGCTCTTGCGCGAATCTCAATAACTGTGGGTGGAATTTTATTATGTTTGTCCATCGAAAACAGTTAACAGTTGATGGTATCGATGAGCAGAATTCATCTACAAACAATAAAATTATTAAACTTCCACCATAATGCCGGAAATATGTAAATACCATGCTACTTCGCCGAAGAATGACAATAACTACATTTTCTTAAGCCTCGAATTCTTGCATGACCATGTCTCCTTTCTAGTCCTCCCTTGGATAGCAATCACTCCAGAGAAAAGCCAAAACCAGAGAGAAAACAAGACGGGAGAAAAAAAGGTCCATTTGCCTGGAGGAAGAGACTTGTTTGTGTCAAAGATCAAGGATAAACAGGTAGAAAAAATGTCCCTTTGTTCACCAACGTGAAATCAATTTTCCAGGAATTATGAACAATACTCTTTCCCAGAGGCAACAGGTTGTGCATGCCTTGCTCTACTTATGCGCGCCTTTTTCGCACTTTCACCGCATATCCTCAAAGGAAGAGCCCGAGTTAATCGTAGAGTGCAAGGAAAGCTCGAATCTCTGCAATAATTTGTGTGATAGAAAAGTGAAGGAATGAGAGAAACGCCAGACTTCAGGAATGACTCTCAGTGAAGCAGATTATTTCACACATAAAATCGTGAACGGTTTTTTTCTTTCACTCCATCTTCTTTGGGCATCGAGAAGGAAAAGATTATTATGGTTTCTGTGAGTGAATAATGACGAAGATTTTCTCGAGATGGAAGGAATATGCGAAGAAGAGATGCAAGGAGAGGAATTTAAACGAGCCGCGAAGAAGATTCAAATCTCATTCTCCCTTTTTCTCCGCATAGCCAAATGGCAATCTCGGTGCGCCACACACAGAGAAGGCCATGAAGAAATCCGAGAAATTTACACACGTCGTGAATTTTCAACCAGGAATTTTCTCGCCACTCTCCTTATCAGCTGTCCCAGACACTATCACGAGTGGAAAATGCTATCGTGTTTCTTCCATCTCTCACCTCCTTATCTTATCACCCCAATTCCAACACACTGCTTTTCTGCGCTCTTCTTGCCCGCCACAACACTGTGGCCAGCCTTCTGGCCATGAGGGCAATCGCAAGTGGATTCAACAGTGCCATCGCACTCAGGCCAAATGACCATGCTAATGAGGGAAGGAAAAGTAAAGAATTCCAGGGAAGAGAGAAATGAGGAGGTCTTCCGTTCTGCTGAGCCTCTGAACTTTACTCATCAGTTCGTTCTCTTTCTGTATCGACACTCTCAATTAACAAGAAGCCAACGGTTCTCAAACTTTTACCATTTATGCAGTTTCTTTTCCAATCAAATTCATGAGGAAAATAAACTAAATTGTAAGAAAATACCTCAGCCAACAATGCCAATCTATGTCTTTTTCATTAGGAGCGATTGCTCCAGATTCTGGCATTCACTTAGAAGCTGTGGAGTGGACAAGTGAATCTCCAAAGAGAGAAAACAGAATCGAAAAATGTGGTGGAGAAAAATGGTTGAAACTCAACGAGCTTTCCGATGTGTTTTCACCATATCAACACTGCCCAAAATGAAAGAAGATGAACATATTTTCAATCTCATTTGAATACATCACCCAAGAGGCAGATTCTTTTGCTCCTCTTTAACACTCTGGGGGACATGCACGGCGATGGGGAACCTGTCGGTCGCTTTCCCACTCCACCTCATATAATATGTACATATTTTTCTGGACTCTTTCTCATTGAACATCATCATCGTAAAGTTACAGTTCGCATCGCACGTCGAGCGCCCAAGAGGAGGAGAAAAGGAGTGTCGTTTTGGAGAAAAGAAAAGCAAAAAAAAACACGTCACACATAATTAACAATGAGGCAGAGATTGGAAGAGAATAATGGGGCAGATGCCATGAGCTCACGTGAATCTCCCACAAGGAGTCTGTTATTTATTTCAATGAGCCTTTTCGCTCCACACGAAACCTGTGGCCGCGATTGTCAGTGAATTTTCCCAACTTGCGTTCTCTCCTTTTGCCACCTCGTTCGCCGACAGACATTCTCTCGTTTCCTTCACATAAACAACCTGAAAAAACGGACAACAGATTAAATTTATTGTAATTAGATACGCAAATAAGATTGCCATGTTGTTGATATACAAATAAAGTATATACAAACAGAACAAAATAATAACAAGCCATAATATTCTTAATTGAATCTCTTCGAGTGGTCGCCAATCATGAGAAAAATCTCTCAACTTTTCCAGAATTCACAGAATCCACTCTCTTCCGAGAGACGTGTTTGCTTGGCTGATCAATTCGTTTTGCCAAATTAGATCAACATGTGATAAATGGCATGTGATTTCTTCAGAGACGCACAAAAAAGACCAACCACACGTGATAATTTATTAAAAGATAAACGCTGTCGATTAGATGGAAATTTGAATGGGGAAGCAAACACCAGTGCGAAGGAGCGCCAGAAGTTTGGTGTGTTTTGGAAAAACTCACGCCAAATTGGGCATAAAATCAACCGAGAGATAAAAACTGTGCACGGCTTTCGGTCAGCTTAAATCTGGTCTCATCTGTGATTTGAGATTACCAAGTGGATTTCTTTATCTTTCAGAATATCTACCTGTTTCTCCTCCGCGCTTCAGTGTGTAAAATAGAGAGGAGTTTCCAGAATCAGATTTATTTGATAGAAAAAGTAGATAATCGATAAAATATTTAAATTGCCTTTGTGTTGTTTCTCAAAACACGAAGACATAAATTTGAGAGAGACTCACCTATTTCAGCTCATGTCTCTCTTCGGACATTAACATAAAGCCATTTACTGGACGCACTGCTTTCCAATATCCTGCACCAAAATCAAACTGCTAAATACACAGAAAGTTCTTGAGTAGGGCGAATGGGGCAATCGGAATCGAGAATAATCATAAACTGAGTAAAATAATTTAGTAATTTAATGAGATCTAAATATTATTAAACATTTGCTGTGAACGCGGCGATGCGCCGGTTATTTTATTTCGGTCCAGACTTCTAGTTTGGTGAGAACTTAAGAAATGGTACAGAAATCTCAATTTACACATAAACTTAAAAATCAATAAAAATAGTTGTTTCAGATTTGCCTTATCAGAATATATGGGGGATAAGATAAAAGAATGGTTTTTATTGTGGATAAGATAAAAGATTGTTGAAATTCGGAAAATTCAAATACAGGCGGGAAACTTGTTATACAGTGTGAACTTGGCATAATATACCTTCGTTCAATTTTCGTTATAATTCAACGCCATTTTGAACTGGCAAGTTGGTTTTGAGAAATTTTGCTTGTGTTGATTTTCTGGGAAAATGAGCTGCTCGCCTTATCCAGCAGACAAGGTGGCTTGTCTGAGCCATGACGATCTCTTGGAGGAATACAGGCAGATGGAGAGAACGTTTCGAAGCCTTCAGAAACAGATGGAAAGTGGAAAACAGCAAATCTACGAGCTTAACCGGAATCTTCAGTCAGGAAAAGCGACACAGGACTACTTGTCTTCAGAGCTGGAGTCTCTTCAGTGCTCGCGGGAAGCTGAGCTGAGGAGTGTGGGGCAGAAGTACAGTGTAGAGATTGAGAAACTAAAGGCTGAGATTGGGAATCTACAGAGTGACCGGGCGTGCCTCGAGAAGCAGCTGGAAGAGATGAGAGAAAGCCTTGACAGTCAGGAGAAGAATTTCCAGAGACAATTGGCCGAGAAGGAGGCAGAGAAGTCGCTGAATGTGTCCAGAAACGAGCCCTCTTTCGACGCCAATGCCTATCAGCTGGTCGAGAAGGTGAATGAGTTGGAGGAGCAAGTCTTCACGTTGACCAATACGCGCCAGGAACTCACACAGGAGCGCGAGAAGTTGCTGGACAAAGTCGGGGCGTTGCAAGAAACGGCGCAGATTCGTTTGGAAGAGCTGGAGGAGAAAAGCCAGGTGATTGAAGAGCTTCAGGCCAAACTGTTCGAGGTTAACAGCGAACTGATAGGTCTCAAGAATGAGGAGCCTGATGCAATGAACCGCAAAGGAAACTCACTCTTCGGCGAGGTTGACGATCAGCGCCAAAAGATGAAGTCCATTCTGGCGGCTCAATCGAAGAAGTACAATGAGGTGCGAATAAGAATTTCCTAAGTGGCTTCCAGAAGTAACCTGTGAATTATCTTTTCAGATGAAGACTGCTCACCGGGAAAGTCAGCGGGAGATCAAGCGTCTGAAGCAGGAGAACGCAGGGATCATGGATGAATTGAGCTGTATAAAGAGGATGTTTGAGCGCGCGGACATGACGTACAAGAACGAGCTCTTGGCATACACTGGCGATCTGAAGAGGACGATTGAAGCGCTGAACGAGAAGATCGTCTGGACAGAGGAGAAGCTCATCCGGACAACGAAGGAGCAGGGCGTCAACTGGCTGGACGAAATGCTGAAATACAGCGAGTATGTTTGCAAAGGCATCATTGAATTGTTTGTAATAATTTTCCTTGATTTCAGCAATCAAGTGAGCAAAGTGAAGACGAACTTCGAGCGAGTGTGTCTCCAGAAGATCCAACTGGAGGACAGCCATCACAAGATGCAGCAAGATCTGGCGAAGTGGCGCTACAAGTGCCTGAAGTACAAGTGTGCCCTCATCAACAGGGACCTTCTACTCGAGGAGCGCGGCGTGAAAGTCCCTGATGTGCAAGATGTGCCGGTGAATTCCGACGTTCAGGTGGACATTGACAATCTGGAGGACACTTTCGAGCGCCAGATCACACTTAAACCGCTCTTGGAAGTCTCCGTGGCTGAAGAGGAGCCGTGCGAGAAGGAGAATTCGTCAGAAGCTGCCAATAAGATCCAGTATCGCGACATGAATTGGCCCGTGGGAGCCCTAAAAGCGCCCATGGATGCGCGCAGGAATGAAAGGCGAGCGAGTAGTCCTGTAGCTGTGTATTTAGATTCTAAGTCAGACACATCATCCAAAGGCGATCCTCCCGGCACTGAGATTCTGGCGCCAGAGGCAAGGAAATGCAAGGCGCCCTCTTTCACCGTCAGGAAGATCGTGTTCAGAAAATGAGTCAAGTCTCAAAGATTCAACCCAATATTTTTACTCTTCCCGTCTTTGCCATTTTATTAGCTCTTCTCACGTGGCGTCCACTATTTTATTAGTTCATATTTCTTATCATTCCTCGCTTTGCACCTTCTTAAATACGATCTTCTCATTCATGTGACAAAAAAATTTAATGCTGGCAAATAGAAGTTGTAATACGATTAATCATTTGCGCTGCTTCTCGAGGAATTCTATAACTTCGTCAGAATGACCCTTCGGTGGTGATGAATGTCACAAATCTATGCAGGAAGTTGAAGTTTCTTGCCTTTTAGGACTGTGGAAGACAATGAGAGAGAGAGAGCATGAATTAGACTTGAGGCAGAAAATGGCACTGCGCAGACTTGCAAACTTTATAGATTGCGGATTGGAGAAAACTCTTGAAGGTGTAAAAAGTGTAGATAAAACAATATTCTAAGAGATTTCGTCAGTAAAAAAAAACAAATTTCTATAGATTTGAAGATTTGCAAACTCTTTCAATTTGCATTGCAACCATACTTTAAAAAAAAATAGAAACACAGAAGTTTTACAATTAATTGAAATGCCAATCTTAATATAAGGAATAAAATGTTTAACGTTATGAAGAGGTGTGAAAAGAATGATTACTTTCAATAGTCCGAACACTAGTTTTTCAGTTCATCATTAGCAAATTTATGTGAGAGCAATGTTCTTTTTCGTAAGTATAAATAATGAATAGGAAATAGCAAAAAGTTCTATTCATTCGCGATTAAACATGCGAGGTTTTATGAGATCTTTATAATTTCTCCACTCAGAACCTTGAAGCCTCGCTTGTAGCAAAATTTAAAAGGCTAAACAAATAAAAAGTAAGAGTAGGCAAAACACCTGTAATGCTGAGTTTTTTTTTATGCAAAGGCGACACTTGTGCAAATTACACTAATTTGCTTTGTACGAACCAATCATCTCGAAGGCATATTTTCGCATTTCAGTTTCCTTAAAGGCCATTGACCCTTTGACATCTGGTCAGTTTTCTCTTCGAGTTCGATCAAAGATCAATGCGAATAGACAGAAATCACAAGAGTCTAAGAATTCTACGCTCACAAAGAGGCTCTTTCTGTGGAACAACCGAGACAACAATTAAAGCCAAATTATGATAAGCTCGGAAGAGAAGCCGGCTTATCAGTGGAGTCTCTACGGGCGGGTCATCGCTGTGAAAATGTGAAAATCTCGCCGGATAGCGGGAAATCCATCTCAATCTGTTTAGTGGTTCTGGCGGCGCAACTCGGCGCCGAAAAATGGCTTCTGCTCACCTTTGGTAATGTACAAGTAGAAGAAATCGCAGTAGAGGATGGTCTGCACGGCGCCGGCAATGATGGCGATCCAGTCGTAGTGGCCCTCGGTGGCGTAGCGGTAGACCCAGTTGATGAGATAGAGCGCCCGATAGGAGCCCAGCGCGAAGAGGTAGTGGCTCGTGATGGTCTCGGCCTCGCCCGTCTTGCTCACGAGGAAGAGCTGTGGCAGGATGGCCACGGACTCCAGGTAGATGGAGAAGGTCCAGAGCACCTCCAGCACGGTGAAGCTGTGGTTGATGAGCAGCGAGAGGATGGCGGCCGGGATGAGCAGGAACTCAATCCGGAACGAGTCGTGGTTGTGGTCGTACGTGGCGCGGAACTTCACATACATTAAGTACACTGTGGCGCCCGAGGCCACGAGGAAGAAGACCTTCATCACAGTGTTGTACAGGCTGATGTAGGTGGTGAAGAGATCCAAGTATCTGGCCACGTAGACCACAGTGAACAGGATCTGAGACTTTCCGGAAATGCCAGCGCACGAGCGTGTCTTCCATATCTTCAGCAGCAGCACTATTATGGCCAGCAAGTGTGACAAGTCACCAGCTAATCTGAATATATTCATCTTTCACTGTCTCCCGGTGCTACACAAACGAATACCTAGCGGCTCTCTGCCCAGAATCAGCCCAGAAATCACGGGGAAAAAGGACACACTGGCCGTCTCCCAGAAAATTGTACACTGTGAAACGTCAATATGAGTGACGTGTTCTGTCGGGAGCAATTCTACTTGCCGGCGCCTCGTCTTTTCGTTAAGCGCTTTTCATCATCTTTATCGCCACTCAGGTCAGCATTTATTAGTTAATTCTCCACTTCGCATCATGTCCCTCGTGATTGATTGCAGAACTGCCTGGATTGTTGATAAATTGCCAGAGAATTTCCAATTTATCTCTCACTAACCTAACTTTTCAATTTTCCCCAACAGTTTTGTCTTCCGGAAGTCAGACAATCACCCATTGGGATTCCTCAGACTGCCTCAGACTCAGTAGAAGTGCCCAAAATGACTCAGCGAAACAAGAAGGGTCGAAATCAGTTGTTTAATGAGGAGATGAAGACTATTTATCTGGATTCTGACGATGAATCTGATGAGGAAACATTTAGGATTGGTCAGGTTATTCGCCAGCCGCCAATGATCGAAATCCCAGCCGACTCCAGTATTGTGATTGAAGTGGACAGTCAAGATGATATCCAAAACATCACAAAGCCGCCAGATCCAAGTATTGATTTGGTAAAACGATCGAATCTCTCCGAATTCGCCAGGAAGTTCGTGGAAAAATATTTCCCAGACAAGCAAGCGAGAGATGAATTCCGGGAGTACTTCATCACACTATTTTGCAATATTTACTTAAGAAGTCCCACCTCCAGACGATGCCCAGAACTCAGGTTCGACACTCTCAGAGTCAATCCGCCGCTACTGGCTCCCAGAGAAGAGAAACTGTTCAAGAGGCTCAAGGGTTTCATCACGCCTTGCAAAGTTGATCTTTCGCAAGCGAATGTGCTTTACTCGGTTGAGAAGAGGATTTACAAGAGATATCGCAGAAGATGTCCTCTATCCAGAGAGTCCATGCAATTCATCCTGCCGGAAACTCTTGCAAAAATGACTCTCGATTATGTGCGCCACATTGTGCCGAATGTTGATCTCATCTTGAAGCAAGCGAAACAACACTCAGGAATTAAAGCTCGCGAACAGAGCATTAAGAAGGTGGTGGACAATCTCTTTGAGCTCCTCGATGAGTTGACGCCTGAGAAGCAGACCCAAACACCTGATCAGGAAGAGGAAGAGCAAGTGCAAGGCGTTCCAGTAATTGATGTAGAATGTGAGCTTGATGCGTTAACTCATGGACCAAACACCATCGAAATGAACAGAAATGTAAACCCACCAGAGGAGACACCAAAGATATATCGGCCACCACCGCAGCGTCTTGAGATCCTAAGCGATCGCTTCAAGAGTACACTGCATCGGCTCTCCGAGGAACGAATCATAAAAATGCTCCTCACTGAAGACAGACTGGAGTTCTTAGTTGAGATCGAAACTCCTCTCGGCTGGCGAGAGATCATGATCCACGGAGAGGATATTCAAAGATTCCTGAACATACCGACTGATATTTGGAAGAGAGTCAGCGACATTCTTGGCGAAATTTACAAATTAAAGAGTGATGGAAAGCTGACTGCGAACACAGAACTCTTGAAGGCGTTCGCCAGATCATTTTCCACGAAATTATTAATGTATAAGATGCCAAAGATAAATGCACCGAAGCGTTTCTACACTATCCTCGAGTGCGATGTAAATGGTGATAATCAAATTGAAATAGAATCTTTGCCATCTTCCTCCACTTAATCGGAAAAATTTTTCTTTTGTGATTTTCATTTTACGTTAGATTTGAATCTTAACGAGAAGATTCTAACTCCAGTCGCCTAGAGTCGCTGTATTCGCATCAAAGGTATTTGGGTATTTCTGTTTTGGATTTCCTTGGAATCTCTCTCATTTTCCTTGCAGAATTCGCATTTTCCACGCTTACTTCAGAATGAGTGATGATAAATCTCGCACTCTCTTCTGTGGCAATTTATCAGATAAGGTTACCGAAGAACTGCTGTACGAACTTTTTCTCCAGGTAAGAATGACATTTGTGCCGTAACCTCAATTGGGGGTGTTATATTTTGATGTCTTTCCAGGCGGGCCCCATTGATGGGGTGAGGATTCCCAAGGCTCGAAATTTCGGCTTCATCACGTACCGCCACGAGTCCACGATACCCTATGCACTAAGACTCTACTCGGGGACGCGATTGTATGGTAGAGAGATAACAATTGCACAGCAAAACTCCCCCGGAAATGAGCAATCAGGGAATCCCGCAAGTCATGCTCAGCGGGGCATGATGCCACAGATGAGGCCACCTCCCGCGATTCCACCCGTCGCGATGTTCGGCGGTATGCTCGACATGGAGCAGTTGCTGAGACTCGGCCAGCAATTGAATGCCAATCTGCCGGACAACTTTGGTTCTTCATCCCGCGGAGATTACTTTGGTAACAACCGGACGCACGATCTCGTGAATCGTGAGAAGCACTATCGCAACCGCGACAGTAGAAAACCGTACGGAAACAATCGGCGACAAAGAGATGACGATACAAGAGGCAAGAATCACAAGAGGAACAATTTCCGGGATCGACATCACCACTGGTAATGTACTCTCCACTTGCGGAATTTCATGTACAAATCCCCCTTTCCAGTCTGTAATCTCCATCCAAATGATTTGTATGATATCAATAGACATTTGCTCGGTCATAACGTCCTTCCGGAACGTGATTATAATTCCTCACAAGCGCCGCAACATCAATTCTCCGCCATTCTCGTGGGTGGCGGCAAATAAAAAAGGCTCGCCTGTGCCGGAGATAAACAGGAAATTCAGCTTATGGCCATTACGGTGCTCGAGAACTAGCCTCTCGTGGGCTAGTGTGTGTTTTAATTCGTTCCACTGGACGTTGCTTTTATTTCCGAGTGAAACGTGATGTGACTTAATGGGCCAACAGCTCGGCGATCGCCTCGTATGCCTGCTCATTTCCCTCCAGCCTCCGCAACTGCTCCCGGGACTCGCCCATCTGCCCTCGGAGGGCTATTCATGCCTCCCTGGAGTAGAAAGTGCACGGAAATGAAGAGAGATTTGAGGCCCAGTTGATTAGTAACTTCTATAAAAACGCGAAATTATCTACAGAATTTTCTGCACACGAAATCATCAAGAGAAAATATTTCTCAGCACTTTATAATAAAGATTATGCTGAAAAACAAAAATTGTGGATAAAAGCGAATTTTCGTCTGCTTTTTTTTTAAATAATAACAATATTAAAGCCGAAAGTAATGGAAGAACTGAATGAGGACGGAAAACTGGGTCCAAGACTTGAGCATACTGTGCAACCCTTTGATTTTCTCTTCGACGTCAAGGGAAAACGCCTCGCTGAGCAACTCCCACACTCGATGTTCGCCCAGAGAATTTTCCGCCACTCATGGAGAGTTGTGCTTAAACTTTGCAATTAAAAATTCCGGCAAATCCCTTGTTTTTGAGATTTCGATTCACCATGAATAATTAACGTGGCCATCATTGTTTTGTGTGTTAAGTCAGCGATACATAGTTGGGCGGGCGAGAGCGCCCCATGGCAGAATGCTCGGTGGAGAGGCGATGAGATGAGTGGAGGAATTCCACTCATTTTCTCGAAAAACAACGCACCTCCGCCCAGTTTTCCCACTTTTCTGGTGTGTGTGTGTGTGTGTGTATTTTGAAATGTGAAAAGGGTTTCATGAGACTTTTCCCTTTTCGCATGATTTGAAGCCTCTTCTCCGCGAACCGCCCCTCAGGAGCGAATTTAACCACTTTTTAGTAGCAATGAAGAAAGTTTCTGTCTTTCGCTCCTGTTTTCACACAAGGGCTAAATTTCATGCGACTCCTTTTGTGGGGCGGACGAGGGAAAAGGGTGGAATTTACTTAGAGTTGTTTGACTGAAAATTTCGGGACTGTCGAAAGTGGAATTTTGAAAGAAATACCAAACTTTGAGGATTTTTCTAATATAAGACGTTTGGAATTAATATTATGCCATGAATTGAGAAAAAATAAGTAATATTCTTAATCTCGCAAGAGTTTTAATTTCATTACATACCTTTAGTTGTTTTCATAGTTTACAAATTTAAGCAAAGGATTGCAACAGCAGTTTTTATTATATTGCTGGTTACGTTTGCTTCGGAACGATCAGATAAATTGAAATATTCTGTGCAATATGTGATTCAATTTTTCACGCCTTTCGGAGATTTTCAAAACCCTATGAATTTCCACCCATTCAAGGAGAAATCTCTCGAGAGGTGCGAATAAAGTGTAGGTGACAGAAAGTGTCTCTCGAAGACGAAGACTCTGCCGATCATCAGTGTTGGGAAACTCTTCTTTTTGCCCCTGAAAAATCCCTCTCCCATCTGAGTTCGCCCTGAGCTCGACGGGGCGCTGCGAGGATGAGTCTGAGCCTTTTGGGTGCACAAGAGAGTACCTTAATTAGCTATCAAATATTCATGCACGCAATCATAATAAAGACGAAATTCACGAATTTCTCATTTATTATTATTAAATTAACATTACAATCGCTGCCAAACTTTAGCAATGTTGCCCAGGTAAGAGTCGTGGAAGATGGGAAATGAAGGAGTTTTCGATCAACTCGACTGTACTTTTCCATCGGCAGGAGTTGTTGTGTGAAAAGTGAGTTTATTATTTGTGAGAGTTTGTCAAATGAGATATAAAATTTGACCGAAATTTCAGTGTTTAATGTATGTTTTGCATGGTGAGCGCATAAATTGAGCAACACAGGTAGTTAAATATTAAATAAAATTAGTCATGGGTTGATATTTGACCCCAAAATCATCTGGGGTGAAGGTTGATGAGAATTTGAAATCTAAACGATCCTCAAACATCATTTTCACCCTGACAAATTTATCCTCTGCACACTATATGTAGTATTAAACCATCCAATCCGCAAATATGTACATGTGAGGGAAAATCTGACGATATGATGATGACGATACCACAAGGACAAATTCGCATTAATCTCCTTTAATTAGGAACGAGAATTTGTGCGTGAATATAAATGATGGCATTAAATACCTAACTGCTCCTGGTGTGTTCTCAGTCCAAATTATACCAAATATTGTACAGCACAAAGCCGCCACCCGCACGAAATCACACACACACACAAAATCTCCTTCCTGGAATCATCAGGCCTCAAAATTGGACTCTCTCGCTGGAAATCCTGTGTGTGACACATCATTTCGAAATGAGGCTCTCGTAGTTTTCCCACCCACAGGCCGAAATTTCCATTGGTGCGCATGAGAAATTTTCCCATAAATGACAAATTGCCTGGGCCAAACATTACAATTTCCGGACACTGAATTTGAATATAAACACACTCTTCATCCTTTCCATATCAGACGCATTTCCTCCCCCCGGTAATGCTTTTCTCTCTGCGCCTCCTCATTACAGATGCATTTTTAATTGCAACTTACCAAATGGAAGGAAGCATTATTACGGCAAGGGACGCATGGTGTAGTCGGAAGTGGTGTCCAGATAGCTGGAAAACAAACAGAATTAGATGAAAAATTGCATGTGAGTCGCAATTTATGGCATTGGAAATACTCACGAGGTCTAGGAAGATCAGCACATTAACCGATTTCGCCATACTATCTCTTGTTTTTCTTGCGAAACATTTAATTTTATTTCCCAAAGACATTTCAAAGACATTTTGTTGCGAGTTTTGTCTCTATAAAAGGATTGTCGTGGGAGCGCATGTGAATATTTCTTTCACTGAAATCACTTTAGGGCTCTGCAAAGAATAAATTCAATTGAGAAGTCCCAAAGGCTAAAGATTTTCTATCACGTGCCCAAACTTGTCCTTTGTCCTTTCCGATTCGCCCACATTGTAAGTCAATCACGTGCGCCATTCTCCATCCAATTGGATTATTTAATTCCACATGAGCTTTTCTTGTCATCTTATTTGATGTCACCTGATTTGTGATGCCAATCGGACGTGGTGTAAAATGAGAGTGTGGGATTTTTTGGGAGACATCATTGATTCCATTTTAGATATATTTGTTGTCACATTTGCTAATCTGTCCATTTTCACTTTGTGACCACATTAGAAAACATTTTCCGTGGAAAGTGCATGTCACTCTGCCAATGTGGCGTATCTATTATTCCCGCGCGAGTCCATCAAACGTGTGAGGGACAATTTGGGAGGAATGAGTTGACCAGAGAAAAGAGCGGAGAGCTTTTGGCGACCTGTCGATGAATCCTAACAAATCACCAAGAATTATGGAGCTGTGGTCTTCCCCTCTTGGTTTTTGTGCACTCAGGAAAATCCCGCGAACTCAAACCGCAAAAATATTATCTTAACAATGAGTGATGGATTCTGATATTTAACATGATGCTCTAGTGATAAGATAATAGTGATATGATATGTTGCAGAGAATTGCTATTTTGAAGTGATCTCAGTTTTCTCCAAGTGCAACTGTAGATCTATTTGTAGTGTCCTCCACCTCTGTAGTCATTCAGGGACTTTTCTAGTTGATTTTGTGAACAGACAAAGCCAAAAACCTCTCAACATTTGAGATGGAAAGTGCTGGAGGGAGTGGAAAAAGCCCAAAATCAACGTCAATTTCCGCCAATTGTCAACACTTCACGAGATCATGCCACACAGAATCTTTCCCTCTCCGGGAAACCACCTTTTCGTATCATTGTCCTGGGGATAAATCAAATTGACAGGTGGAAAACACATCAAGTGAATGCGACGAGAGAAGTTTTGCTCTCAGGATTGAGGCGAGGCTGGGCGAGGAGGAGCTCAATTGAATGAAGAAGGACGCAAAGATGGGCAAAAAGACGAAAACTTCCCAATTAAGACAATCTCCTTGAATTTCTCTTTGTCTTCACAATTTCACCCCAAACCCAAACCTGTCGACATTCTCCATGCCTTGACTTTCCATCAGAGGCGTAGCTAAATTTCCTCAAGAACAAGACATGGAGCGGCGTAAGCTGAAATTTCCAGAAGAGAAGGTATTTTACTTAACAAAATTTCCCAAATATAGATTGGGGTGAAGGACATAATATTTAAGAAGACGATCACTTATTAATTGGCAGATAAACTGGTAAATTTCTATATTTTAAACCATGACTCTTGTCAGGTATCAATGATCCTGAGGGGAACTTTAAGAAGAATATAAATCGGCGATTCAGAAAGGTTTACTAATAAGCTCAGAATCATCTTTAGGCGATTAAATTGATGAAGAAATTAAAAACATTTTTTTTTTATTAATGAATCAGTGTTTCAGTAAACTTTCTGAAACAACAATATTTTAGTCTGGAGGGGTAATTGCCCCCCTTCGGCCCCTTCTTGTCTACGCCCCTGCTTCCGTCCCCGCCTTCTCCGGCCGTCAACATCGTCACAGCCTCCAGTTTCCATGGCATGAAATGTGAAATGAAATTTTCTCAGTTCTTGAGAGAAAACTAAACAAGAGGCGAAGTGATTTTATTTATACACTGGTCCAGAGATCTCTCGTTCCTCCGCCCGTGAAGCCGCCCTCCCGCACAGCCCAATATGCCAACCCCTTTGCCACTCACACTCTATGTTCATTATTATGATTAACAAGAAGAACCGGCAGTTGTAATTACTAATTAAATATTCATTGGAGAGAATTTTCCAAAAAGTTTTCACCGCTCCGCCGCCGCCGCGGGGCCATCATATCGAGAGAAATGGCTCAGAAAGAGGTATTAAAGCGAATCATTCGTGTAATAATGTCACGTCAAATTAAAATCATCTACGAGTTTGCGTCCATTTTACCACCATGGCGGGAATTATTCGTCCCCCGACTTTGCCTCTCTGCAGCAAAGCATGAAAAGCACTCCAATGGCTGATGATTCTCCGCAGCAGAGAAAGTCCTCGCCCATGATGGAGTTCACTGTTCATAATCGTTATGCTGCAAATGGGTTTAGCGATCCCACCTTCATATAGCATAGTGCGAGCGCGCTTTATTTGCCTCCAGCTCGGCAAACTATGTACGAAATCCTTTTATGGAAATCATGAATGTTAAGAATTTTTCACTGCAATATTGATTTCAAACATCCACGCGGCACAATTTAGTCTATTTTTGTGACATTTTTATGCAACATATGAAATGTGCGACAGGATAATTTGACCCTTCTCTGTGTTTGCAAATTCACCCCTTCAACATTTGAGTGATGCGGGGATGATGCGTTCAACCTTTCCATATATCGAGAGAAAGTCAC